TTGTTTCTGCTGTTATATGGAGTTTATTAGAGTAAAAGCCTTTTCTTTTCCGTTGGTCGTGTAGACGCTGCAGCTTCGGAAGATCCGCTCTTCGTGGAAGTTCAAGCCGACGTTTGGGAAAGCGAGCAAGGCAAGTCACATCATCTTTGAACATATTGAATCCCAGTTTGTAAAATTATGTTGATTTAAATTATTGCATTACCGCTTTATTTAAATTCCCGCGTTATCACTGTTTTATTTAGCCATGCCTATTTACCTTTGTTATGACCTTATTATTATTGTTATTGTTATTATTACCTTGTTCACCCTAGAATAAACAAAATCTCAACTAGTGGACACCCTACTCAAGGCACCACTAGTTTAATTTTAGGTAGATGCTTCGCTATTTAATTAGGTAACATTAGGTGGTTTTACAACTTTAGACTTTGGGAATATTCATATCACCTGGATACTTTGGAATGGTTGGATTATTGTGGAATTGGCTTCACACCGCTCCTTCTATTCAAAATCCCCAAAATGGTTTTAGGCTGGGCTCGAGGTGCATAGTTTTGATAGTAGCACCTCGGCCATATAAGGACCGGTCTTCGGGCCTCTGTTGCAAAGCACTACCGTACTTCCACATGTCTAGTGGGTAAGGCTTAGTTTGTGGCTCAGTCTGGTTATAAACAAAAGTACACGGATGGAGATGGATGAAGTCGGGGGTCGATGGACATTCTCCAGGGCAAATGAAGGCTACACGAGCTGCGGCCCGGTAGTCGAGATGTCATGGCACAGGGCCGGTGTCCTGCTGCTAGGGGCTCAGTCCTGCTTGCCTGTCCCGGAGGTTCCGGCCGTAGGCGGGATTGGGTCGGTACTCTCGTCTATGGCTAGGATGGGTTGGAAACTATGTCACGTCTTCCGTCTGTATACCGTGGTGGTATGTGGCACGTGGTTGCACGTGAGGAAGATGTGTCTTGTGGGTAAAGATGTACACCTCTGATCAGAGTATAATCTATTCGAATAGCCGCGCCCTCGGTTATGGGCAAGCCGAGCAATGTACCCAAGTTAGTGTTTTAATTCTTAAAACCTGCTTAACAACTAAAATGTGGAATGGTTGGCCTGGGTTGGCTTGGGACGAGCTGGGACCCAGGGTCGGGTTGCCAGTTCGGTCTGAATCATCATAGGCCTTGGGTTAAGGCAGGTTCGTGTGGGTTCACGGCCTTGATTAAATAACATTGTATAGTTCTAGAATCGTGTTTACAAAATAGCTCTGAGCAACTAAATGTCTTTAAATGCTGTTTACTGCAACCCTAACCCTTTATAGTATAATTCCCTTGTACTCCCTTGCATTTATTCTGCATTTGTGGGTGTGTCTTGTTGAGTACGGTGGTTGTACTCAGTCTTGCTCAATTTTCCCCAAACCCAGAAGAGGAGCTCCTTGAAGATGAAGGCTTTGGTGTCTAGCTCGTGCCTGCCGTCAAGCGCCTGTGGTCGTCGCCCTAGTCTTCCGCTGTTTCTCGTTTGTCTTTGTGTGTGCTGGGCCTTCGCTGCCCATGTAATAAGTTAACTATTTACGCTTCCGCTTGTTAAACTCTGAATTGTATCAACTTTTGGTGTACCTTGCCTCCTGGGACAAGGATTAATGCACGCACGTTAGGAACGCCCGTTGGGTTAATTCCGGTCGTGACAGGTCGCCTCCGGCGTGGAGATCAAGGGCGTTGGCTCCGTCACCTTCACCGCCAAGTCCGGTGAGCACAGGCTGCTCACCGGAGTCTACTACATCCCCGCATTGAGGAACTCTATCTTCAGCGTGGGACAGCTAGATGAGAACGGCTCACGCTTGTTGGTCGAGGATGGACTCATGAGGATTTGGGATCGCCGTCATCACCTTCTTGCCAAGGTAATCAGAGGCACTAATCGACTCTACATCCTCAGCGCGCAAGTCGCACAACCAGTTTGCCTCGCCGCTCGTTGGGACGACGAGGCGTGGCAGTGGCACGAGCGCTTCGGGCACCTCCACTTCGAGGCCCTGAAGCGGCATAGTGCCAAGGAGATGGTGCGAGGCATGCCATGCCTTGACCACGTGGAGTAGCTCTGCGACGTCTGCGTGGTAACGAAGCAGCGGCGGCTCCCCTTTCCCAAGCAGACGAGCTTCTGAGCCAAGGAGCGGCTCGAGCTCGTGCACGGGGACTTGTGTGGCCTAGTGACACCAGCCACACCAGGAGGACGATGTTACTTCCTGCTGCTCGTCGACGACTTCTCCCGCTACATGTGGGTGATGGTCCTCGGCAGCAAGGGAGAGGCTGCGAACGCCGTTAGGCGCGCGCAGGCTGCTGCAGAGGCGGAATGCGGCCGCAAGCTGCGCGTGCTGCGCACCGACAACTGCGGCGAATTCACAGCGGCTGAATTCGTGTCGTACTGCGCTGATGAGGGCATTCAGCGCCACTACACCGCCCCGTACAGCCCGCAGCAGAACGGCGTCGTCGAGCGGCGCAACCAGACGGTTGTGGGGATGGCTCGGGCTCTCCTCAAGTAGAGGGGGATGCCGGCCATCTTCTGGGGGGAGGCGGTGGTGACGGCCGTCTACATCCACAATCGCTCGCCTACCAAGGCCCTCGATGGCAGGACACCGTACGAGGCTTGGCATGGGCGCAAGCCGGCGGTCTCCCACCTGCGGGTCTTCGGCTGCCTCGCGTTCGCCAAGGAGCTTGGCCACATCGGCAAGCTCGACGACAAGAGCACCCCAAGCTACACGGAGGGCTCGAAGGCCTACCGCATCCTCGACCCGGAGACACAGCGTGTGCGCACAGTGCGCGACGTAGTGTTCGACGAAGGGCGAGGGTGGGTATGGGACAAGGCGGTGGACGCTGGTTCGACTCCGACGTACGACGACTTCACCGTCGAGTACGTCCACTTCGAGGGAGCTGGGGGAGTAGGCAGTTCTACCTCACCAAGCGTGTCTACCCCAGTCCCCGAGCCTCCACCGACTCCAACACCAACACACCCTCGGGCCACGACTTCGACTACAACGAGCTCTTCGCCGACACCACCCCAGCCGGTGACCCCACATGCTGCAGCACCAACAGCCACCCCTCCGGGCACGTCTATTGCGACGCCAGCTCGTGTTGAGCACAGCCCAGTGGAGTTCGCTACTCCACTCTCCCACGACGAGGAGCGCATCGATGCGTACCATGATGGCGAGCAGCTACGGTACCGTACGATGGAGGATCTTCTCGGCAACCAGCCGATGCCGGGACTGGTGCCTCCCGACTTGGAGGCGCAGTTGCACCTTGCGTGCGATGACGGTGAGCATCGGTCTTTCGCTGAGGCCGAGAAACACGCGGCATGGCGTGCCGCGATGCAGTCGGAGATGGACGCGGTTCAGGAGAACCGCACCTGGGAGCTTGCTGACCTCCCTCGTGGTCACCGCGCGATCACCCTTAAGTGGGTGTTCAAGCTGAAGAGGGATGAAGCCGGAGCCATCGTCAAGCACAAGGCTCGCTTGGTGGCACGTTGTTTCGTGCAGCAGGAGGGGATCGACTACGACGATGCCTTCGCTCCCGTGGCACGGATGGAGTCCGTGCGACTCCTTGCGCTGGCTGCTCAGGAAGGCTGGGGCGTCCATCAGATGGACGTCAAGTCAGCATTTCTGAACGGCGACTTGAAGGAGGAGGTCTACATGCACCAGCCGTCGGGATTTGTGATCCCCGGCAAGGAGGGCAAGGTGCTACGCCTGCACAAGGCCCTCTACGGCTTGCGGCAGGCACCGAGGGCATGGAATGACAAGTTTGATTCCACGCTCAAGGGGATGGGCTTCGAGCAAAGCCCGCACGAGGCGGCCATCTACCGGCGGGGCAATGGAGGAAATGCCTTGCTGGTGGGTGTCTACGTCGACGACCTAGTGATCACCGGCACCAAGGATGCGGAGGTCGTGACGTTCAAGGAGGAGATGAAGGCCACCTTCCAGATGAGTGATCTGGGGCCTCTCTCCTTCTACCTGGGGATCGAGGTGCACCAGGACGACTCTGGGATCACGCTTCGACAGACCGCCTATGCCAAGCGCATCGTTGAGCTGGCTGGGCTCACCGATTGCAACCCAGCTCTCACTCCGATGGAGGAGAGACTGAAGCTGAGCCACCATAGCACGACGGAGGAAGTGGATGCTACACAGTACCGGCGTCTTGTGGGGAGCCTTCGCTACCTCACCCACACACGGCCGGACTTGGCCTTCTCCGTCGGCTACGTCAGTCGGTTCATGCAGCGACCGATAACGGAGCACCAGCAGGCTGTGAAGAGGATCATCCACTACGTTGCGGGGACTCTCGACCACGGTCTCTACTACCCGAGGTGTCCTGGCAAGGTACACTTCGTCGGGTACAGCGACAGCGACCACGCCGGCGACATCGACAACAGCAAGAGCACGAGCGGGATTCTCTTCTTCCTCAGCGAGTGCCTCGTTAGCTGGCAGTCAGTCAAGCAGCAGGTGGTGGCCCTGTCCAGCTGCGAGGCCGAGTACATGGCGACCTCCGCCGCTTCGACCCAGGCGCTCTGGCTTGCTCGACTGCTTAGTGATCTCCTCGGCAGAGATACTGGAGCGGTGGAGCTCAGGGTGGATAGCAAGTCCGCTCTGGCCCTGGCAAAGAACCCCGTTTTTCACGAACGGAGCAAGCACATCCGGGTGAGGTACCACTTCATCCGAAGCTACTTGTAGGAATGGAGCATCAAGGCGAGCTACATCAACACCAAGGACCAGCTTGCGGATTTGCTCACCAAGCCCCTTGGGAGGATCAAGTTCGTTGAGCTTTGCTCCCGGATCGGGATGGCTCAACTTTCCCACAAGACAGCGCACAAGACTTAGGGGGAGAGTGTAGGAATAAGTCTTGGCTGGTTGATCTTGGTCTTGTGGTGCTTTTTCTTGCTTTTTAGCTTTCTAGGACAGCATATCTACTTTTAATTTGGATGCTCTAGGACAGCTAGGACAGCAGTTTGTTGAGATGCTTTAGGACAGTTTGTTGGGATGCTCTAGGACAGTTTGTTGGGATGCTCTAGGACAGCACCCTCTTGCCCTAGCATGGCTGCTACAAGCAGCTATAAATATGTATCCAATTCTCTTTGGGAGGATATGGCTTTGTGTTTTGTGAATGAAGAAAACCAGAAAATTGCCTCATCTCAAGTGCCATCCTCTTCTCAATGAGAGTAACCATTGAAATTCTAACATCCTCTCACGTCTTCTGATTCGAAGTAAGACTTTTTCTAGGTCTTCGAAGCGCCTCTTGTCATCGCAGTGTTCAGTTTGCTCCGGCGAAATCCCAAGCACCGCTCGGTATGGCGTGCGCTTGTGACCTGTTCGGTCAATTGCTTCTTCTGATTTCTATGCCAATGTTATGTTCAATGATAGGATAATTGGGTTCCATAATTTCAGTTTCTTAAGGCAGCTGCGCGCGGATTGCTTGGCCTCCCCATTGGTTAGTTCTCTCTCTTCTGTGTTTTAACATTCATATTAGCTTCTAGTTTCGTGAGAATAACTTAGCTTCGTTACTACAACCAAAATGGCTGGACACAGGATATATTGTTCAGTACTCACGGCCTTAGTTCATTCTTGTGACACAATAATAGTTGAACTATTGAATTATTTAGGACCTGCTTACCTTTTTTTTTATTATTGTACACAATGTTTTCTGATAGGTGGTGCGTTCCTAAATGCATTTGGAGCAATTGTTCTTGGTGCACCCATTGGAATCAAGTGAGTGTAGATCAACAAGGACGTCAATTGTTGTTGTTAACCTTTATGTCAATGCTAAATAGATGTCTAGTACTGTCATATAGACTGCTTCCTATATTTTTTTTTATCTGATTTTACCAGAATGCACCGGGATATTTCTTTCATGGGATAATACATATCAATGGTCCTTTCACGGGGTTGCATATCTGTAGGTACTGGGCAGCAACAACTTATTGGTCACTTCTCATGTCCTTGTTCACAGTAAGTGTCATTTCCCCTGATTTACTTATGTGTCACTGCAAGTTAGATTCAGCTAGATTTTCACCACTCCAAAAGGTGGCATTCCTGGAAATGCTGTATCACTGGCAGGTGGTACTAAATGTGAGTGCCATCTGGACTGCCATTTTTGGAGCAGCAAGTATGTAAAAATATCACATCTGAGATTAACAATATTGGCAACCGGACAACTGTTACTTTTTTCTCTCTTGTGCCAGTACTGTGCCTTTATATTTATATAATTGTTACATATCAAGTCATATGAAGCTAAATCCATGATTTTGCAGATTGTTCCTGCAGCATGCGTATTTGGAGCATCCAAAGTGAATTGGCAGGCTGTGCTCTCTCATTCCATGTACATAGCTTACTGTTAAATGAAAATAGAATGCTAGGGGTTCATTTAATGAATATCTTCCTTCTAAATGTACTGTCCAGCAACTACCTGACATTGTGGTTTGGTTTGTGCTTCTGCATCAGTTATTGCGGATCAACTGATGCAGTGGACTACATGATATCTGCACCTGCTCATGGAGCTGTAATAGGAGCATGGCTTGGTGCTTGGCCTATGCCTCTCGACTGGGAAAGACCTTGGCAGGTAAAAATACCACTGTGAATCTTAACTGTCTGCTGTCATCTGCCTAGGCTTGGGAAGTCAGAATTATAAATGGAAATGTTCATGCATGTTCACTAGCCGCTATAAGTACATAACTGCTTAAGCAGTACCTCATTAACTAATTTAGTTGGGTTAACATAGATTATAGTAGTTTGTTTGATGTTCTACAGTTATATCGGTCATTTAAAAGAACTACTCCATATTATCACCTCCTTTATCTGAATTAATTTCACATTACTCGTCGGCATCTATTTAAGTGATTTTTGAATGTTTATGCATGCTGTATCTGAAAATTTCCTGCATGTTCACTACCTAAGGTTCCAGCTTAAACAGCATTAGCATGAACTAACTTTTTGGAGCTGACATGAATTTCTGTAGCTTGCCTTATATTCTGCACTTCTGTTTTCTGTTGCTTTTGGGACTACTCATTATTATCTTCTCTTTTATCTGAAATAGTCTTGCATTTCTCGTCGTGCATCTTGCTTTCAGTGGATTATGTAGTGCACAAGGCTGATAATTCCCTTGCTGAGCCTTACACATTGCTTCTATCGTCGCCTGCACCTCCGTTTTGCCACTTGCTAATGCTCTGTCATGATTTTTCGTAGGAATGGCCAATCTCTGTTACTTATGGCTCAGTCGCTGGGCATTTGATTGGAATGGCAATATCACTAGCCCTAATAGTTGCTCATAAGAGAAGAGGTCGTGCCAAAGCTGACTAGGTAGCCTATGGATGTCAAGTGCCCTTGCTTTTTTCTGGTCATTAGTGATTTTTCCCGATAGTGTACAAGTATTCTTTTCTTTTTTTTCTGGTCATTAGTGATTTTTCCCGATAGTGTACAAGTATTCTTTTTCGGGGACCAGATAGCTTTCATATTGAATATAACCAGTGATGCTTTACAATAGGATGGGTCTCCTATGCACCTACCACCCATCTGGGCCTAGTGAGATTTTGCCTGGGAATCTGCCTTTAGGCTGCATTGTGTATTGAGAGGGTGTACATAGTGAGATTTTGCCTGGGAATATGCCTTTAGGCTGCATTGTGTATTGAGAGGGTGTACACTAGCTTAGGATAAGGAGGGCAGAGGTGCATACATGCAGCGCCCTTCATGAGCCATCCGATTGGTGACACTGTTTTGCAATTTAGAAAAATAAAAAAGATATTCGCAGAAAATCATGGAGGAAAAAATGTATATTTGTTAAAAAATTGTCCAATTCACGGAGTGAACACATTTTATATAAGAAAATTATTGCGTATTGCACAGATGTAATTTGACCAATAATGTCGCGTTTTCTTGGAACCTTACCCCGCTATGGGCATCACAATAACACAACGCAACACTCGCTCGAGTATCTTGTATACTGTACAGTAGGACAGTACTATGAGTTTGCGAGAGGAAATGGTCAGTTTATGTTCTTCTGACGCATTATCTTCAGGACGAATCAATCAGCACTTAATTAGCTCATGCCTCCATTTGCTCCAGATATACACAGAACAACAAAATAAGGCGTTGAATAAATCTGGGTTTGATTTGTAGTCATCAAGGAGACAAGTTTTGAGAGGAAGACACCTTATAAATGCTATTACTTGCTACATATATACTGTCTCAACACACGCAACCCGTGTCTGAAAAGCTACAGGGACAAATCACCAAATGTACCAACAACCTACGGTTGTTGGCAAGACAAACATCAGAGTGTGCACCAAAGCAGAACGTATTAACAGCTTCCACACTTGATGTGGTCAAAATCAAGGAGCAGATTTTGAATTGTGATGGCTACCTAATACAGTTACAGCTTCAAAGACACGTAGTGCAAAAAATATTGCTGCAGTATGATTAGCTGCAGTTGTGGCAAAATACATATTCAAAATGTTAATATTTTTTTTCTCATTTCACATTGTATGATTTCTTTGGTCTGCTGTCATATTCAGAAACTCCTTTTTCTCCCCTAGAGAGTTCCATCTGTCCATCTCCATGTACCTTCCATGCAAATCTGTCATACATTTGTTGCAGTCTTCTAAGACAAGAAGAGAGACATGTTAAGTACCTGAAAATGACTGCTTGCTCGCAAAAGTGAACAGTTGCTTTAAGCACCAGCGTATTTCAAGGTAAAGATTAAGCAAACCATCACAATAAGGGCCACTATTACCTATATGTCTCTGTATGTCAGTTTACAGTACAGTATGCCTTCCGGTACCCAAAAAATAAATCAAGAACAAGGATATAGTATCGCCGAAAAGGAAAAACTTGAGAAGAGTAATAACTAACAATTACCTGAATGAATAGAGACAGACGAACAATTCAGTATAGAGTATCAGCGATAAAACAAGGTATACCTTCCACATGTTGCATGTACACCCTCATTCAACAACTATATCTTGTTGAGCAGTTATGGAAGTTAATTTGTTTATGTAAGTATTACAAAACAAGTACACCAAAAGCTGGGTAGATTTGTTTTGTTTATTTATGGTCTTCAACAACCATTTTTTTGTACTCTCAGCATACACCAAACTTTAAATTAGAAAGACATGGAGAATACAAACATCAGATTTTTCTAAGATACAACTACTCCTTTGGACTACATAGCTATAAGGAGGGTGCCACCAACCAATAACTTCTCTTTGGACAGGTCCTAAGTTATGATTCCACGTACACATCCTGATGATTTGAACCTTGAACTAAAATGGAAAACAGTCTGTTCTATAGAATCTGAATGATTTATTTGCGATGAAACTTAGCATAACTGAATCCTATATCTGAATTTCAGCATAACTGTTTACTCACAAAATGAATTTTGTACAGAAAAAGATCATATTCAGAACAGCATATCCAGAACACCTTTTCTTAGTGAATGCAAGAACCCTAGGTCAAATCAGTGCCCCTACTATCAAACAACGAATATCTCTATAATCTGTTCTGCAATTGATGATCGTAAGTGTTCATTTTCTCACATTAAAAGTTTGGAAAGGTAGATCTAAAGACATCCTATATCAGTCAACGTTATTGGCCTCTGCTCCAAATCAAGTTAGAATTTGCATACCTTCTTAGGACATTATAGCAGAACTTTTTTCTAAAACTTTTTTCAGAATAGGAATACAGTGGGGCATGCATGTAGTATGCATAGTTCGAGTATATGAAAAAAAAATTGTTGACATCTTGGGATAGCGTTGTAAGAGCAAGTTTAATAGCAACCAACTACTTAGCTCCAAAAATTAATTTGAACTAGTATATCCATACTATATCCATAAAGTAGTTACATATTAAATATATATACTACACCATTAATAATCGTCCATTCTCTCATGTATACATTGCATCCTGTAACTCGTCCTGCGGCTGGCCCACTTTCCTTCTCTCCTCTCCTCTCTCTCCACTTAAGCATAAAATTGATATAACATTTTAGAGCTCGCTTGTAACACTTATTATACTCACTATAAAATTTAGCACTTTCTACAAATCATGCAGGTTTGATCATGTGCAGATATTGATATAGAAAAAGTGCAACATGATGACCCCGTTGCTACCAAATCCCTCAACAAACTTTAACAACCGGTTAAACAAATGCAATTCTCTCTCTCTCTCCCTCCCCCTCTCTCTCTCTCCCATTCTCTCTGACCTATACCAATCCCTTGCAAATGAAGTCAAAAGGCTATGCTACCTTTCTCCCAGCTGAACTACCATGATAGCAAAACATTCCCCCAATGTCCAAAATACCCCTCCTCTATTGTGTCTGGCATCCTCTCAATATAATTACATATTGACAGTCTAACTCTATGAATTAGCGAAATCTAGTACATAATTGATTATTTTTTATGATAGCACCTATAAGTTGCAGGCATACCATAATTGGTCTCGCCTGCAAAGATCGCTCCTCTAATTGACAGTTCAAAGACCGCATGGACCTCTTACCTGCACTGCATGTGAAAATAAAGGCATGTTTGCGATAATCTACCAATTGGCCTACCTCCACCTTAAAAAATCTACCTACCCACTCGTTCTTATCCACTCCTCTCCACCTCCACACCTCCCTCATTTTCTCTCCTTATCCTCTCCTCTCCTCGATCTCCTTCATCTCGTGAGCGACGGCGGGCGGGAGCGGCGGTGTTAGGCTCGGGAGTGGCCGGGCGCGTGCGATGACGGCGGTGACAACGGCAACAACGATGGAGGGCAGCGACGGTGGCATGCGCGTGACGACAATGAGGGTGGCGGATCCGGCAGAGCCACCCTCGGGATGGGCAGATCCGCCGCCCTCGAGAGCGACAGCGGGTGGTGATAGAGAGGGCGAGCGGCAGATCCGACGGTGCCACCCTCAGGAGCGAACTCCGTTGAGAACCACGATGACGATGACGGTGGTGGTGACGGCCACGACAATGGCTGTGGTGGCAACCGGCAACGGGCTAGGGTTTCATAGTTTTTGGGATTTTAATTTTCTTTCTTTCTTTCACCGAAATTATTTTTGTTTGTGGTTGGAAAAGGTGGTTGTGTTGGCCGCATGCAAAAATTGTGATTTCGTAGACACCTGGGTGCAAGCGGGCCACCCACCCGCATGCAAATCGATTTTGGCCACATGGAAAAATTGAATATGTAGTAGTGAAATGTTTTAGAATTAGATGCATAGTTTGAAAACATAGTATTCTTTCATAAAAATTCTTTATGCAATGGAACTTAATTAATTGGGTGGTGAATGACTCCATTTTATTGTTTTTGGGAGAAGCACTAATAACAGAATAGCTTACACTTCATCGACACATGCCGCAAATTAGTAAATCTATGTAGAAGAATACAGGGCGTATCATATTTTTCAAAAGTCTTTAGGACGAAACCTCCTGATTCCTCATACAATATATTCTTAATATATATGGAACCAACATGTTAAGAAAGCTCTTTTGAAGAATGAATTTATCAGTTTAACTCTTATTTTTTTAGGTAATGGGATAGCCGGCCTCTCCTTCCTGAGACGGATGTACACAGCCATCCATTTAACTCTTATACACAAAATATATTAGTAATTTGAGTAATTTTGTGGGCCAAAATATATAGAGTTTGATTTTTTTTTCATAATATAATACCTTATACAATTTTCTATGGGTGGAGTAGAATATTTGGTTCTAAATTATGTATCTCTCAATATCAATATGTAAATATTAACTGCTAGATATTACCAGATACTAGCACAAATATATTAGAGGTATGATACATCTTATATCTATGGAAAAAATATATTTAATGTTAAAGTGTTATTTCATTCTCATTGAGAAAAACGTGAAGGGCTTGTGACTTCCTTGGTTTTGCGGAAACAAGAAAACGGGGATTTTGTTTCCACCTACATTCTGGCTGACCCTTGGGTGAGTCACAATAGATGTGTATTCAGCATTGTGAGCTCACATGAAGTATACGTCCATCCAAAAAATATAGATATTTGTAGCATTCTAGCAAATAAACTAGTGCGAGACATCCTTGCAATACCATGTTCCCTTCGACCTGTGCTGCGCCCAACGCTAGCATATTACCTCGTACTATACCTAAAAGCATGCGCAATTTATCCGCTGTCATGGGCAAAACTGTCATTCCACCTGAGCCTGTCTGTTAAACCTTCCACATCTCCTCCCTCCAATTAAGCAACCTCGGCTCACATTCACCACCAGCAGCATCCAAGAAACAGAGAAGAACAGAAGAGAGCAGAACAGAGCAAAGGGAATGGAATGGATCATTAAGAGAGAGATGATGATGAGTGAGCAGTGAGCAGCTGCCGACGGAAAGAAGCCATCATTAGGCACCAAATGCAGCATGCACATGCTTAGCAGCATCAGCTGCTGCCGGCCAGGGGAGACAAGAAAACAGAGGAGAAGAAGAAGAAGAAGAGGAAAGCCATCGTCATCATCGTGTCGTGATTAGAATCCGGCCATGTCGACAGCAGAAGCAGCCGTGTGGAGGGGCCATGGCAGCAGCAACATCACGCGGCAAATCCTCAAGTGCACGAGGTGGCAGCTGGAGGAGACCACGGACTTCATCACATGCCCCTACCACTACTACTGCGACAGCGCCTACCCCGGCGACTACTCCCCCGCCGTCGGCGCGCTCGTCGCCGCCTTCGCCGCGTACTGCCTCGTTTCCGCCGCCGCATTCGCCGTACTGGACATCGGCAGGGCCGGCGGCGGCGGCGGGAGGAATAGGCGGAAGTACATGGTGCCGTCGGGCCCATTCTTGCTGCCGGTGGTGCTCCTGGCGCTCGCCAAGGGGCAGCGGATCAACGCCGTGTTCCCGCTCGCGCAGCTCGGCCCGGCATTGCTGCTGACGCTGCAGGCGTCGGCGCTGGCTTTCCGGAACGAGGCCGACGGCGACCTCCGGTACGCGGTGCTGGAGGCGTCCACCGTGTCCGGGATCCTTCACGCCAGCCTCTACCTCGACGCCGTCGTTCTGCCGTACTACACCGGCACCGACGCGCTCCGGTGGTCGCGGTTCTCCGGCGAGTGCGCCACATGCCTCTGCCGGATGGACCCGCTCGTCGTCGGCGGCCGGACGGTGCTCTACCGGGGCCTGTCCAAGACGGCTCTCGCCATCATCTTCGCGCTCTGCTCCCGGATGGTGTGCCGGATCTACGGCGAGGAGCGGGTCAGCGCGTGGACGCGGTCGGCGCTGGAGGCCGCGAGCTGGGTGTTCGTCGCCGGCGACGCCGTGTACCTCGCCGGGTGGGCGTTCGCGGAGGGCGCCGCGGCGAGCGTCGCGGCGTACGCTCTCGTGGCCGGCCTGGTGTTCCTGTGCATTTTTGGTAAGGTGTACAAGTTCTTGGCTTGGATGGAGACGAGGCAGGTGCAGTGGAAACCAAGCGTCAGCTGCCACAGTAATGTGGTTTGATCATTAATTTCTTTTCTTTTTTCGTTTTTTGGATCGAGTTGTTTCTTTCTTTGATTCACAGGAAATTGTAAAGCATAAATGCATAATAACCCATTAATTCAGGTTTTGTGTGTATAACAAGGAAAAGAGATTTAACACTGCATATATGCTGTGGAGATTTGCATTTCTAACGTATTCCGCAAAACTCTGGAGATTTTTTATGACTGTCTATATAAGCTACGGAGCATGTTATTATGTGCGTAAATTAGTGTATATTCAATTGAAAAAACTCCTGAGATGTACGTTAGCAATTTTTCAATTTGCCACTTGGATAGCAATCCTTTATCTTAGTAAAGGGGAACCTAGAACTAAAGCTCTGTACTAGGTTAGAATTTGGTATACTACTTTACTCTGCTTTAAGCTTTCCTTTAGAAAAAAGAATCACATATATATTGCCACGTCAATACTAATTTCCTGAGGTTATGGTGTCAGCATTTGACAGATGAGATTGGGACAAATTAACGATAACACTCTTGGTAGTTTTCACGTGAAGCAATTGTCCAACCGATGGCTGCTTCCTAAGCTAAAAACTCAGCAGCAAATTAATCCCTTTCGGCTTTTGACTTGTGCTTTCTTGTGTCCTGCTTTCCTACTCTCCCTGAACCTTTCCAAAGAATGGTATATTATATATATAAGTTGGAAAATTGATCACCCAAAAAAAGTAGGCCAAACTAAGTTTTCATGAAAATTTCCTGTTTTGAAATTATGTAAAAGACATTACATATATGTCTTATTTATAATGATGAGGACATTCGAAAAAGCTACGGTACCTACCTTCAGAACACTTCCTCCTGTACTTTTCGTTGAAATGAATCTTCTTGGATTGTTCTCTTGCCAGTTCTACAAAATATACTTTTGCTCCATCCATTAGCCTTTTGAACCTTGTGCCACCGACTTTTAAAAGGAACAGTTATTGCTCTCACGCATTATACTCCACTTATTTAGAGTTCACATATGCATGAAATGATTGAAATAAACCAAGCCAATCCCATCAGTCTTTTGATCTAACAAATCAAGAGCACCCTGATTAGTTACATGATGGGGATTAATCAAGGCGCTTAGTCGCCGTACATATGTCAGCCGATTCTTTCGTCAGTTGGAAGCAATAGCTAAGGTGGTGTTTAGATCCAGGGACTTAACTTTAGTCCCTGTTTTTAGACACTAATTTAGAGTATTAAATATAGACTACTTACAAAACTAATTACATAAATAAAAGCTAATTCACGAGACAAATTTTTTAAGCCTAATTAATCTATAATTAGAGAATGTTTACTGTAGCATCACATAGGCTAATCATGGATTAATTAGGCTCATTAGATTCGTCTCGCAAATTAGTCCAAGATTATGGATGGGTTTTATTAATAGTCTATGTTTAATATTTATAATTAATTTTCAAACATCCGATGTGATAGGGACTTAAAAGTTTTAGTCCCATCTAAACAGGGCCTAAAGCCTAAGTTTGTAGGGCTCTGTTAACTGTTCGTGGTTGGTGCTTAATTGCTTTTCAAGTCTAAACTAAGGCCTTATTCTATTCAGTTTATTCAGTGGATTATTTACACGCTTCAAAAAATATATTTTCTAAAATAAATAAATTCTACTAGTATATTACTTAAACTACATGTTTAAATATATTTATTATTTTATAAAAATATTTATTTATTTCTATAATTAAGTTGATAATTCGTGATAAATAATAGGCCCTTATTCTAAATGACCGAAACTTTGTCCGGGGGCAGGACAGAATGCGTCGGCCGGGTTGTTGGTTGAGCCCACAGCGGTACTGAGCTGTGTGGTAGGCAGTGAAACAGTGCCAAAGTACAGGTACCATGTGGAGCAGTTTTTTTCCTAAGGACGGATTAGGTTTCTGTACTTGAAATGGCAGCAGCAAGCAGAGTGTAGATGCAGCTCTCAGCACTCACCAGATGAGTCTAGTACATGTTGCAACGTTTGGGGACCTTAATGGTGAGTGTGAGTGGTGACCACCCAATATCTCTGTCCTGATTGGAGCACAAAATTTTCGTACTAATCAATATGCAGTTTTGTCAAGACTAATGTAAAAAAAAAGGAGTATCATTCTCTTCTCTGGGACATATATGTTGAAAGTAACGTAGAGGCTAGAGATAATTGTTTGTTTTACTACCAACATAAATAAGAAAGGACAGTTGTGTTCTTCTCCTATTTCTACTTGTTGTGATTTTACACTTCTTTTTTACGGTTTGTGTGTTTTACCTTTGCTGTTTTAACCCAAATATTCGTTTGCCCTAGTTTGGATGTCTATTCATGGGCTTAGAAAAAATGGAATGACCAAATGTTAAGAGACACTACTTATTTAACCAACCGTCTGTCAGAAAGTGTTTACGAAAATCGCTATTTTTCCATCCGGGTGGCGCACTTCGACGAGGAAATTGAATTTTCACATGCGGGTGCTTAAGTCATACTCACGCACAAATAAAAAACCAAAAAAATCCCAAAAAAATCAAAATTCGAAACCCTAGCTAGGTCCCATCTGCCGACGACGCACCCCCACTTCGTGTTTCCTCCTTCATATGTCTTTTTGACCCAATGTTGAAACCTTCGGTTTTTATACCACTTGTAATAAAAGTTAGTCGATATAGCGGAATGACGACTAACCTTCCTGATTGTTTTAGTTATTGATCACACAAGACATGCCAGATGATGAGACAGGAACACACAATATTGGTTAACGAGGTTCAGCTAAGGCATAATGCCTGAGGCTCATATTATGGCAGTCCTCCCCAACCAACATAGTACCTAGCCGCTACGAGCCCATGGCCTCGCCGCCACCATCTCCGAGCGCGTCTACGCTACACTGTAGTCATCATTATTACATTATGGTGTCCCCCGTCTCTATTTGAAAGGATTGTCGGGTTACGTAGTCTGACTCTAATTCCACGCCCACCACCTATTATAACTCCAAGTCCAAATCCAAGTACATTCAATACCTATTCTAACAATTATAAATTTTATGTTTCCTTTTTATCGAGAAAATAATTAACACAGAAACTTAAGTTTGAGCTGTAATTAGGCTGTACTTGGTGAACTAGAAATTAAACTAAGATGGCATTTCTTCCCATTTCACATACTCCCTTAGTTTCAAATTACTTTATCATTTTAGTATTATTCTAAGGTAAAAATGATGACCTTTGACCACTCTTTTTTGAAAAATCCATATTGTCTAACAACACATGAAAGTATTTCTCATGGTGAATTTAAAAATTATAAATCTTTTAATTTATTAATAGTTAAACATTAAATTTGTTTTACTTAGGATAAATCTAAATTTCAAACAGATGGAGCATATTGTTTTTACTACGAGTTTGCTGCAGAGATCACACTCCCGTCTATACACGGACGAGGCTCCTCTGATGTGGAGAAAATTTTGTCAAAGGGACAAACGATGTGGCGGAGCCACTTATTTTGCATCCAATGGCAGATCATTTCCATCCGTCTCTTTCAGCCCAAACCGTAAGGCCCAAACACGCAGTTGCTCGGTTTGGCCCATTTACAAAGGAAGCGGAGGGGAAAATAAAGCTGCGACTTTGCAAGAAGGAACAGGGAGCAGCCACTCCAGAAACCCCAACGCCACCGCCTCTAGCGCCGACCGCCGCTCGTTGCCTTCACCGGCTCCGACGCTGCCCAAACATGCTGCTCCACGTGGAAGCTCTGCTGCCCTGGCATAGAGGTCAAGGGTTGCGTCGAGGACATCGGCTTCCACGTCTCTTGATTCGATGTCACCATCACCGACCACACCGCCACAGGAGGGGGAGCGACCGCTGCGGCAAAGTCCACACCACCGCAGGATGAAGGTGCATACAACACCACCTCCGCCCGACAACAGCAGGTTGAGAAGCCAGGATTTTTAATTGATGTGAATTGAGATTGTAACTCAGTACTGAATTTGATGATTATATGTCTTTGTCAATTTACATTACTGTGTCAATTTGAGAATGTGAAGATTGTAATTGTACCAATTCAGTATGGCAAAAGGGATTTCACAGAACTTAGTGATGTCAATTTGCTGCACTGTCAGTTTTCAGAGAGCATGTGATAGCTGAACATTTATATAGATTTTGTCCTAGGATATTTGTTTACAAAATGGCAAAAGAAAGCTAAACATATATTCTACTGAGTGCTGTCGATTTTAGAGAAGAAACCAACTACTATCGATTTGAGAGAAAAAGAAAGCTAAACATATATATGTATACTGCTTGCAAAATTGCAAAAACTCACTACTGAAAAACGATTTTCTAGACAATACCTACTTTAGGCTGCAGACGGACCATAATTGGTCGTGTCTGCAAAAATTGACCTGCATTTTCTCATACGTCTCCTTAAAGGGTCCGCATGCAAAAAATCGATTTTTGCATGCAGAACTCTCAACATACCCGCACACAAAAATAAGTCTATTTTAAGGGGCCGCATGCAAAACAATATTTTCACAGGCGGGCGTCTTAAGGATCCACCTAGAAGTCTGACTTACCTCCTTTTTTTCCCTCTCAACACTTCAAAATATTTCATCCTTATCCTCTGTCCATCGCTATCTCACCTCCTCTCCTCCTCTTACCGTAGCTAAGCCAAAACGCCTTCTTACCATAGCTAAGCCACAGCCCTCTTACTCGTCCCTTGCCCCAACATCCTCCTCCGTGTCGAAGCTCTGCTGTCCAGGCATAGAGGTCAAGGGCTGTGTCGACAACATTGGCTTCTAGGTCTCCCGATTCGAGGTAACCATCACCAACCACACCGCCATAGGAGGGGGAGCGACCGCCAGGCCCGTCCTGTCAATTTAGTGGCTCGGAGCGAAGCTAGAAAGATGGGCCCGGTAATACAACTCTAATAATATAATGATGTTTCTAACAAATGTAATGCATAAAAAAACATTCTTATCAAACAAATTGTATATCTTCCTCTCCCGGGCTTCCTAAATCTAAGTTCCTATGGCCTATGGGCCCTCGAAGTTCGAGGGCCCAATGCGGTGGCACAGCTTGACCCCCCTTAGGGCCGAGCCTGGCGACCGCTACTGCAAAGTCCACGCCACCACAGGATGAAGATGCATACACCACTTCCTCCGCACAACAGCAGCAGGGTGAGAAGCCAAAATTGAGACTGAGAATGGATATGAATTGTGATTTTTAATTGATGT